TCAGACTCTCCAGGCATCTCTTCATTCACTTTTCTACGTTCTTGCCTCTGTAGCCCCTCGAAACTGCACTAATGTTTGTGCATTTCCCCAAGACCCAATGCTGCACCCACACCTTGTTCCAGAAAGTCCAGCTAGATGTATCCCAGACCTGCGGTGCCCTCGCCTGCGCCTGGGAGCAGAGTTCTTCAGAGCAAGAGGGGCAGACGTGCAGGTCAGGGTGAGAGCCAGTGCTCACAGCCCCTCCACGGCCGCTGGTATTTACACTAGGCTGGTGTCTGGAAGACCTAAAACATGTGTTGCATCCCCTAAACAGCCACAAACGTCAAGAGGGGTGGCTGCCAAGTGTAGGCTTCTGGCAGCTCGCAGGGTGGTATACTGGCTGTGTCTAATGGTGAGCACACCGGACTTGGGGTTAGAAGGCCAAGGTTCAAACCTGGTCTTGCTCGGTCCTTACTGGCAACACCAACTCAGTGTCTATTTCCTCATTTATAAAGTGGATAAAACACATCTCATCTGATGGGATTATTGTGACTGCTGACATAAAAGACGTGGAAGTGATTGGTAAATACCAAGATTGTTTACAGACATAAGAAACTATGAATAATAACCAGGAGGCTATTTAGGAGGGGCAGGCTACTGGGCTGTGGCTTTGCAGTATGTGCTAGTGACCCCGGAGTCCTAGGAGGGAGGTTTTCATGGTTACTGGTCCCACTGCCAAAGCGTCTAAGCTGAGGTGAAGCAGCCCCTTTCACCCTCCCTCTGCTCCCTGCTCAGGCACTGCTCTGGGGAGGGTCCTAAAAGCCTTGCTAACCTCCCATCCTTGCTCCTCTTTATTTTCCACGGAAAGATTCATGGGGGGATGATCTTTTTGGGAGAGGAGAAAAAGCTTCCCAGTTGTGCCAGAGTCAGGTACCAGGCAGCACGTCCGGACGGGAAGGCCCTCTGTGCATTCCAACGGCATTCCTCAACGGTTAGCACCCGCGGCTGGGCCTCATCCCCTGGCTTTGGCCAGTTCTGCAGCCTCTGGTCCAGACTGCCAGGTGATACAGAGATGACCCTTGAGTTTCCTCCTCTGTACTGGAGCTGCTTTCTCCCTGACACAGAAATTACTCAGGGAGGACTCTGTTCTGCTCTCCTTGTGCATTCTTTCCTCCTGCTATCAACCTACAAAGGGCTCCCTGCACTTCACTGCAAGTCTCCTTAAGCAGGAGGAGCTCTGGGACCCTGTTTTATTTGTCTTTCTAGGTCCAAAGTTGCACAGTGCCTTTCACATGGCAGGCCCTCGGTAAATTATTTTGCTCAGTAAAAGGGCAGATGAAATAAATTTTAAAAATGTGTATTTAAATGAATGAAGAATATATGAGTGAATGATTTGTCTAGACCTTTATTACAGAACAGGTTGGATGTAGAACAGGATGTAGAACGAACATGAGCTTTAGATAGACCCAGGTTTGACTCAGCTCCACCACTTAGCAGTTCTGTGACCTCTGGTAGTTACTTAATCTTGTTAAGCTTTATCTCTGAATGGGTGTGGTAATACTTAAAGGGTTAATGAGAAAAT